TTTTTTTTTTTTTTTTTTTTTTTTTTTTTTTTGTTTTGGTTTTTCTTTTTTTAAATTTCACAACTTCTATCTGATAATATAACGTGGGATTGAAGTTATTTATATATATACTTAACAAACTTATTAGTGTCGGTTAGACGAGAAGTACATATGAAGTGTTCAATTATTACACTATGAACTCAAACAGAAAACAAATTAGAACGTAAGAGAAAAATATATATACCTATTAAAATTGAGACGAGTAATCATTTTCCGCAAGACAAATACGTTATGTACAGTGCTTACGAGTCTGTTTGTCTTGTACTTAAAGATACAACGACTATTGATGTGGAATTAGTAGCCTACGAGACTTCAGAGCTCCGGCGAAGACGAACAGAGGGAGATGACGATATATGTCTTGTGCTTCAGTATTTCAAATAATATTGCAAGCTTTCTCAGTATAGAGAGAGATGGAGATTTATGTGTTGTGAATCTTCTGCAACTTCTAAAATGTCCTATTTATAGGCAAAAATTTAAAATTAGTCTTATAATTTGGCTACAGTAAAAAAACGCACCCCGTCATTTCAATCTGGGTCTAATAATTTGTCAGTTACATCAATTTTGGTCTTTTTTATCCGCACCCTAAATAAAAAATAACGTGGCGTGACATGGCAGTTTATTAATCTGATGTGGCTTGATTTGGGGTTATATGACGGGATTAAAAACAACGGGAAATGATAATTCATTCATAATTCTTAAACCTAAATTGATAGGGTCAACAGCCAATTTTAAAGTAAACACAACAGGGACAACCGCCGCCTCTGCCGGTCGTCTGCTAATGGCCGCCAGCCAACCACCTCCGATCGGACAAATTAAAATTATGTTTTCTTTTGCTCACTTTTGCTTTTGAAGAAATGTTGTTTGAAGATCAGCCAAACACCTCCAATCTTCAAAACTGTTTGAAGATTAAAATGTTTGAAGAAATCAAAGTTCATGAATGCTCTTCAGTTATCTAAATTGAACAAATTATAATATTGTTTGAAGATTTGAAATACAAAAATTCTATGAATGCTTCCACAAGGTCGAAGACAAACGGTGTCCCGTCTGAAAATTCAAACAAAGCTCCTTCGACTCGAGCAGCCGCCGCCACCGGCACCACCGCCGGCTGCCACCACCGCCGCCTGCCTCCGGCCAAATTGGTCGGATCGAAAAGATTATCACACAATTAGATAGATCTCCTCGAGAAGAATCTCCCCTTAAAATTTCGTTCACTAATTCATCAGGTAAGACCTTCAATTTTGCGGTCAAAGTTTCCAGATCTAGCTAAAAATTGGTCAATATCGATAATCCGAGGGTACCACCGGAATCTTCTCGTCGAGGCGAGTTTCCAGGTCTTTACCTCCTCCGGACGCCATCGTCCGCCGCCGCCGTCCGTCGCTACCTCTATCGCCGGTCAAATTCCTCTGATCAGAAAAACGTTGATACCATCGTGAAGCTCTCGCCAAGCTCGTTCTGCTCTTGCAATTTCACACAAAACTTCTTACATAAAGGTCATCGATTTACGGGTCAAAGTTTTTGGATTCAAGAGATTGTTAGTCAACACCTGTTTTCTCCTCTATTTTTTCCGGCAATTTTCGGTGAGTCACGCTAAACCAACGACACCGTTGAGTTCTCCTCGCGAAGGCGCATCCTCGGTTGGGAATTTTCTCCGGATCAATAAACCTTTCGCCGGTGCCATTCTTCTCGACGAAGCGACAATTTTTGCCTCCCAACAGACGAGCTTGGACGTGGGTTCAGGCAGCCCGTCGTGGCCCAGTACCCCAAGCGCCTGGCCTAGCGAGATAGCCCCGCAAAGCGGATGATCCACCAGTGAAGAAGCCTAGAGACCGCGTTCCAGCAGATGACAGGCCCAACTTGTGATCGGCCCAACACAAGAAGTCCAGCAGAGAGGGAGAGAAAGATCGAACGGGCCGCGTCCAGCCCGCGAGACCTGCATCCAGCCCGAATTCCTCACAGATGTCGGCCAGCGAAAGCCCACAGACAGCCCGCGTCTCCATGCCTTTCCAAGCCCGCTTCCGACCCAGAGCGCGGCCTGCTTCTCTCAGAGCTCCAGCCCGCATCTCGGCCCGTGTTTTGCAGCCCATCTCCAGCAGCTTGAACCCGCTCCTTCCCAGCCCGACAGGCCCAATGTTGCGGCCCAGCAACCCCTACGCGGCCCATGCAGTGCCCAAATCACCTCCAGTCGGCCCAGCGCGTCCCAGACTGCACCCAACCTGCCCAAACCGCGCCAAGCAGGCACTAAATTGATCTAGATGGTCCACAAATGGTCCAAACCGGCCTAACTTGGTTCAACAACATCATTTTGGATCCAAAAATATTTCGGGACAATTCAACACAAACGGGGAGGTAAATGTGAGATAGTATTTCTTGCGACGAAGGTATGTGGTTTATTCAAATTGAGAATTGCAGATACTTTAAATTAGTGAAGGTGCAAAAATTATTTGATTTTTCCATGGAATTACTTGATTCATTCGATTCGCTCATGGGAAATTATTAGATTTATTCGTGACCATATTACATGATTTACTCGCGGACATTACTCGACTTATTTGTGATGATATATGATTGGTTCGTGGAAAATATTCAGACACACTCGTAGAGGAATTATTTGATTTATTCGCGCAATTATTTGACTTACTCATGAGAATAATTCGCTATATATTCGTGAGGGCACTATTTGATCCATTCGTGAGCCGTTGGATTTATTACCAAGCATATTATATGATTAATTCGTAAGAATTACCTGAATTACCCTTGGAAGTTGTTTGAATTTGAAGTGAATAAGATTCACCCGGGCTCCTTCAACTCGAACCGGCCTCCGTACCTGCAGAACCCAACGCCAGGTGGCCCCGGCGTCGAGCCTCCGATGCCTAAGTCAGTGCTCGGATCAAGAGAGAGATAAAGTGTAGTAATGTAATGAGGAGAGGATAATGTGTGAATGAGGTACCTTGGCCCCCCTTTTATAGGGGGAGTGTACCTTTGTAGGCTCATTATGAGCTTGGCCCATAATGTTGGGCTTGGACGTCTTAGTGGGCTTATCTTCCAAAATGTATCCGCTTTATCCATTAAACCAGGTCCAGTATAATATCCTATATCATCTAGTCCCCCCCACTCTGGTCGAGTAAGCATAACTCGATCCAAGAGTGAAATGCCTCTTCGAGTTGTTTTCTTCAGCTTGCCACTAAGATCGAGCATCGAAAGTCGAATAACCATTGAATAACCACTGAAATATCCTCCAATGAGCTCTGAGATCTCAAGATCGAAAACCGAAAAACCACGGAGGTCAAAAACTGAATGATCTGATATCGGGGTCGAGAACCAAAAGATTTGCCAATAAGGTCGAAAATTGAGAATCGAGAGACCATTGAGGTCGAAAACCGAGAGCCGAGACCACTGAGGTCGAAAACCGAGAGTCGAGACCATTGAGGTCGAAAACCGAGAATCGAGATCGCTGAGGTCGAAAATCGAAAATCGAGACTGTTGAGGTCGAAAACTGAGAGTCGAGACCGTAGAGGTCGAAAATCGAGCATCGAGACCGCAGGAGGTCAAAAACCGAGAGTCGAGACCGTTGAGATCGAAAACTGAGCATCGAGACCGCAGGAGGTCGAAAACCGAGAGTCGAGACCGTTGAGGTCGAAAACCGAGAATCGAGACCGTAGAGGTCGAAAACCGAGCATCGAGACCATTGAGGTCTAAAATCGAGAATCGAGACCGCTGAGGTCGAAAACCGAGAGTCGAGACCGCTTAGGTCGAAAACCGAGAATCGAGACCGCAAGAGGTCGAAAACCGAGAATCGAGACCGCTGAGGTCGAAACCGAGAGTCGAGATACCGTTGACCGAAGTCTTGAATTTGAAAATTTGAATTTACGTCTGTTGTGTTTCGATCACCATGTTCGAACTCTCTTATATCCCCTCCTCCTATCGCCCCTCAGTTCAAAATTTAAAATTCAAGCCTGTTGTATATTCTTTTGAAAAATAAATCAACCACCAACCTGCTTGAGCCGTAATGAATATACTCGACCCGCCACTAAAGTCGAAAAATCAATTCTACGGAAGTATAATCAAACAAAGCACAATCAACCTGTTTGAGCAAAAATGAATATACCTGACCCGCCACTTGGGTCCAAAAAAAAAAATCGATAAACCAGAATCAACAATCAACCTGCTCGAGCAAAAATGAATATACCTGACCCGCCATTTGGGTCGAAGAAATAATTTCGATAAACCAGAATCAAAAATTAACCTGCTCGAGCAAAAATGAATATACCTGACCCGCCATTTGGGTCGAAGAAACAATTTCGATAAACCAGAATCAACAATCAACCTGCTCGAGCAAAAATGAATATACCTGACCCGCCATTTGGGTCGAGGAAACAATTTTGATTAACCAGAATCAACAATCAACCTGCCCGAGCAAGAATGAATATACCTGACCCGCCACTTGGGTCGAAAAAACAATTTCGATAAACCAAATCAACAAACAGCGTGCTCGAGCAAAAATGAATATACCTCACCCGCCACTGGGGTCGAAAAACAATTTCGATAAACCCGAATCAACAATCAACCTGCTCGAGCAA